CTGGGTCGTGCGTGCGGCCCCCTGCCACGCGCCCTTGCCGGGACCCCCCAGCCCTGATGCACACACAACGTCGCACGAGTTTCTCGCCACAATAAAATTCTGGAACATACCAATGGCGGGTGGGGGGGGGGGCTGGGCTGGGGGATACTTTATATACATACACACTCCCGACAGACTCAAGTGGCAGCTTGTTATATAAGTATATACCGTATCTGGCGATGTTTCACTTCAACAATATATACAGGTACTTATATACAATTCACCTACTGTGCTTCACCTAATGGATATACTGTAAACCTCATATATACTTTACCAACTCGTTAACTCGGTGTCTTAATCTCTGCCATGGCGACCACCATGACCAAGAAAATTAACTACAAAATAAAAATGTATATTCAAATTCTATTTAAGTCGATACAAACAATAAAATCTTACAAAAAGGAACAAAAATAAAATCATCTGTGATAAAATCGAAGAGATATTAGTTAGATCCCCACAAAGACTGGAGTGAAAACAGCGGACACACACCAATCTCATATCGAGTGTTGAAGATGATTCACGCGGCGGGCGGTACAGCTTCGATACCATCAACACGGGTTAACCAGGGGAGGAGCGGTTCACCCCCCCTCCCCCCTGCTTCAATTGATTCATCGCCCCGACTCAGGTACCGTTTGAGAGGGGGTTACTATCTCATCCTGACAAACGCCCCAGCGACCCAGCGATATTCTTTGTTGATTGTCAATGAAGGGAAAAGAGGGTGTACGTCTGTGATGATTCAGTCGGTGTGCTGCGCTGAATATTAACATCACGTAGGAGGGAGGGAGTGAAGACCATTGTTGTTCTCGGGATCATATGAAGATAAGCACCCCGGCTTCTCTTACTTTACTATCAGCCACACTGACCTAACCTAACCTAACCTCATTATTTAGTAGAGTGGTTAATCATCAGGTGAAATAACAGGAGAGGGGGGGGGTTAAGCTTCACGTGACCCTGCTAAGGTATAAGGAAAATCAGGTATTATCTGTTTCATTCGCTATGTTTGTCACTGTCGATAATATTATTCCCCTCCTCAACGAACACTCACCTGGATAATGTTTCTTGGATTTTTATTCCTCAGTAGAACAACACAGCAACGCCTCAACACAACACCACGAGACAATTACCAAACACAGCCACACCACCACAAGTCAACTCCCCAAACACAGCCACACCACCACAAGTCAACTCCCCTAACACAGCCACACCACCACAAGTCAACTCCCCAAACACAGCCACACCACCACAAGTCAACTCCCCTAACACAGCCACACCACCACAAGTCAACTCCCCTAACACAGCCACACCACCACACGACACACCACAAGACAGGCCAGACCACCAAAGGGGGAACTATAGGGAGAGGTCAAGGGGCCGATATGAGACGTCTCTTTATCTTTGATTGGCCGTCTGGTTCTGCTTGTTGGCTTCACGCTCACAGCAAGACCCCGGGTGATGTGTGACTTAACCCCTCACTTAACACTACCATTACTTACACGTATGGGGTCTTCTGAACATTAGGTACCACTTAGTTTATTTCACTTGTTAATTAAAACATCCTAACCTAACCATCTAACCTGACATAACATAATAATCTAACTTGGCCTAACATAATATAACCTAAGCTAAGCAAAATTAAATTAACCTAAGCTAAGCAAAATTAAGTTAACCTAAGCTAACCTAACTCAATCTAACATAATCTAATCTAACAATCTAACCTGACATAAAGGAACAATCTAACCTGGCCTAAGATTATATGACCTGACCTGACCTGACCTGACCTAACCTAACCTAACCTCCTTAAGTAGTATTAAGGTCTAATCATCAAGTAAAATAAGCTGGGGTGTCTAATCTTCAGGTGTTCGCTTTATTTTTATTCCATCTTACACCCAGACAAACAATAACAAAAAACAAACACACAACAAAACACAACAAAAACAGCCATTCCGTATAAGCTAAAATCAAACAAAGCTATAAAAGGGAAGCTATAATAACAATACGTAGACTCTGGCCACAGCTCACTTGTTCAATAGGTGACCGACATCCTTCCCGCCATTGTGATCTGTTGGGATGTGTCGAGTAGTTCTTCCGCCATTGTGATCTGTTGGGATGTGTCGAGTAGTTCTTCCTTGAGCACTTATTGTCTACAGCGTCTGGGGGGGGGACTGCCTTCTGACCAGCCTGTTAATGAGGTTTGACTAATCCCTACGCTGTTCCTCCCCAATTCTTCCTCATCTCTGTGTCCATAATCCCTCACCCCCTGCTTCTCTTCCCACAATCCTCCTCACCCCTCGTTCCCTCCCACAATCCCTCCTCCTCGTTCCCACAATCCTTCACCCCTCGTTCCTCCCACAACTCCTCACCCTGTTCCTCCCACAACTCTCATCCTCCCACAATCCTCTCACCTCTCTGTTCCCTCCCCACAACTCTCACCTCTCGTTCCCTCCCACAATCCTTCACCCCTCGTTCCCTCCCACAATCCCCCTCACCTCTCGTTCCCTCCCACAATCCTCCATCTTCACTACCTCATAAGAAATCCGCTGATCCAGGGACAACACAGTTGATCCATAATGAACACAGGACAGGAAGGTGTCTCAGTGCTGTTCATCAAACGGCATAATTGACTCATCATTAAGCCTCGCGACCTTTGACCTGACGTGATCCTGACCTGACCTCACTGGGGTCATCACCAACACCTCAGAGCTGACACCTTGACAAGTTTATTTTTGCACAGTTTTTTTTTTTATTATTTTTTGCGTTACTTTTCAATGCAAGTTTTGCTATAGAGCGAAATAGTCTTATATTCTCGTCTTTAATATGGCTTGTCTGTGTGTGTGTGTGTGTGTGTAGAAATTAAAGCTTATTTAAGGTCAGGTTGTTTTCGGTTTTGCACGAAATTTAATAAGTTTATCAATATGTCGTAAGGTCAATATGATAACCTTTTGGTTGATATTGCGTCAGAATTAACCAGTTATTATCATGATAACATTTCGCCCAATGACAACACAACACACAGGGGGGTTCATGGGTTAAAGAAAACGATGACATGAGTTACCAGCGGTGACTACACTACTTAACAGGGTCACTAGTCGGGTATGTACCCTGCCATGGTAACGGTTCCTGGGTAAGGCTTGCTTGCTGTACCCTGCCATGGTAACGGTTCCTGGGTAAGGCTTGCTTGCTGTACCCTGCCATGGTAACGGTTCCTGGGTAAGGCTTGCTTGCTGTACCCTGCCATGGTAACGGTTCCTGGGTAAGGCTTGCTTGCTGTACCCTGCCATGGTAACGGTTCCTGGGTAAGGCTTGCTTGCTGTACCCTGCCATGGTAACGGCCATGGTAACGGTTCCTGGGTAAGGCTTGCTTGCTGTACCCTGCCATGGTAACGGTTCCTGGGTAAGGCTTGCTTGCTGTACCCTGCCATGGTAACGGTTCCTGGGTAAAACTCGCTTGCTGTACCCTGGCATGGTAACGGTTCCTGGGAAAGGCTTGCTTGCTTGCTTCCTCTCAGAAAATGTAATTGATAATATTCGAGTATATAACATCTAAAGTGAAAAAATTTAAAATAGGTGATAAGTTTTAGAGGCCAGAGTCTTCAAGGTATTCTCAGGTGAACAGTGCTAGGGTGCCTAATCTTCAGGTGACCCAATCCTTCTTCAGTTAGTAGGTAAACTTAATATCTTTATACAGGAGCATCATCACCCACACACACTTGACACACCACACCAAGACCCCATAACCCCCACTCCCTCCCTCATCCCCCCACTCCCCCCACCCAGTATGCGACCTTGCTGACCTCACATGGGGTCAGGTAAATAATAGTCCTCCCCCTCCCAGTTAAGTCTAAGGTTTTTCAAAGGTCATTAAGGCTATTGATCAAAGGGTAATGAGGACCTCAGTGACCTGTACATGACGTGTATACAACAGCCCTGGGAGACGGTCTTTTGTGTGTGTGTGTGTGTGTGTGTGTGTGTGTGGAGAGAGAGAGAGAAGGAGAGAGAGAGAGAGAGAGAGAGAGAGAGAGAGAGAGAGAGAGCTACCATCTTCTCCGACCATTAAACACAAGAACGTCCTTCCTCCCCAACCCACCGCCACCACACCTACCATTACCCACCATAAAGGTCACCATAGCCACCCTGGGGAGCACCATGGCCCGACAAACAACCAACCAGCTAACACCCAGCTAATCGCACCCAATTAAAGAACTATTAAAAGCTAAATAGATTAGAGGTAGTCATGATGGCCTCCGTGCAAGAAGGGCAATGCATACGATAACGAATATTCATATGTACAAGATAATGAATATTGTGGTCTGTGTTCAGCACCATGAGGGACCGCGTCTGAGTATTCTTTGAAATATTCACCATAGAAGTGAATCATGAATATACATTGTAATACTCATGACAAAAGTAAGATAGAATATAGGTTGGGATATTTATTAAAGCAACAGTAGTTACGTCAATATCTCTAGGAATATTCCATCTCCTCTTCCTCCCTCCTTTATTACCACTTTCCTTCCTTATTCTCTCCCTCCACTACCCCCCTCCTTCCTTCCTTCCTTCCTTTCCTCCCTCCCTCACACCACATAAACCAGACACACATTCACCGCAACACAACCTCCTACACCGCACCGCTGACCACCACAATAATGTTACTATAGAACGGGGCCCCTTCAACACTCACCACAACACCATCTCAATACCACCTCAACACCATCGCAATATTCGCCATAACACCACTACGACAATACTGCCTTCTATCATGCCAGCAACCACCACAATCCTCACAACTACCACCACCACAACACTCACCACCACAACACTACCACCACAAGCATCACAACTACCACCACAACACTCACCACCACAATCCTCACAACACTACCACCACAACACTCATCACCACAAGCCTCACAGCACCCCACAGGAAGCACCACTAACAAACCTCCACTTATCTGTGCCTTCAGGAGAATCGCCAAGATCGCCGACCCGTCAAACCTGATGAGCAACCACATCATGTCCAACTCCCTGAGTGACCACGACCTTGACCCAGCCATCCGCCTCATCCTCCGCAAGAAACAGAAACGCTTAGTGAGGGACAACCCGGGCGTCCTGGTAGCCATAGCTAAGGGCGCTCGCACCGCCGTCCACGAGTGCCAACACCAGTTCCGCAACAGACGCTGGAACTGTTCCACCTCCGCCTTCGTCAGCAGGAAAACCCTCTTCGGCAAGATCGTTACAAAGGGTAAGTGTTAATGATGGAACGTTATTTAGCGTGTGTGTGTACAGTTGCCAAGTATATTCAGTAGTTATGATAAACCAGTAACAACCAAAGGTGTCGTAAATATAAGTGAAGGTCACCTAAATATAAAACGAAATCATGAAACACAACCTCCATATTCGCCAGACTATTCTATAAACACCGACCAACTTAACAAAACATCACTACACTCACTAACGCTTTAATACATCCCACTTATGGTGTCGGCTGCTTGTCGATTCCCAGAGTAAAGTATCGACGCCCCGTGCACTCAGCCGACAGACAACATCCATCACAGACAAGATTATGTAAACAGGTCATAGAGAACCTAACGTGCTGACCTGGGGGATAAGTTTACATACACACACGGCCGCTCTATACGTCAACCCGTGATCCACCATAACAGCTACATGATGCATTATAACTGCAAAGAAGCCAAAGAAAACAACAGTCCATTTTTAAAGCTCACAATACGAGGATTAGATTACAAGCGCCAGAGACTAGATAAGATCCCGGGGGTTATATTCTCCGAGGTTCGTACGATAAATTAATGGTCCTATACCTGTAACTGTACCTATAATAATGTTCTCTACTTACCATACTGACTCAAATTTAAAATACAAAATTAACATAAATTAAATTACAGAAAAATTACACTAAAACTCTACCTTAACTATATACGGTCAGAGAACGGGAGGTGGGTGAGAAAACCAAATCTTAAGTTAGGACGCAACTCACCAATACGGATCTTTAAGAATAGGGGGATCCAGGTAGAGGGGGGAGGGTATGGCATAAGCCCTCCCTCACTTCCACCCTCTCTTTGCTCCACCCCTCACTTCCACCCTCCCTTTGCTCCACCCCTCACTTCCACCCTCCCTTTGCTCCACCCCTCACTTCCACCCTCCCTTTGCTCCACCCCTCACTTCCTCCCTCCCTTTGCTCCACCCCTCACTTCCCCTCATCACCAATATCCCCTCTCCTTCCTTCTCCCCCTCCTCTCCCCACCCTCCCGGGGCACTGCAGCTGTGTGAGGGTTGGGTTACGGTTGTGGGGGGGAGGGGGGAGAGGGTAGGAGGAGGGGGGAGAGAGAGAGGGGGGCAGAGAGGGAAAGGGAAGGAGGGAAGAGGGGGGAATGGGAGGAGAGGAGGAATGAGGGAGTGATGACTACTATGGAGAAAAGAAGACATAAATTGAACAGGTGATGTCTTTGATGTGGGTATGGTGTGGGTATGGTGTGGGTATGGTGTGGGTATGGTGTGGATATAGTGTGGGTATATTTATTAGGTCACAGGCAGGATCACAATAAACCTTGAGAGAGAGAGAGAGAGAGAGAGAGAACGCCGCTGCTGGCCCCCACATTCTAACACAGTGTCGGAGAGCTGCCGTATATGGTCTCACACACACGTTAAATGACTCGTTAAGACGCAAACAACGACACACCGAGGAATTCCAATATTGCAGATCTGACGGCGGCCAAGCGGTGTTGACTGACCTCCGAGACACGACCGGGCAAACTGAGGGTAGATCAAGATGTCGTGTATGGTACCACAGCCTCAAGTGTAGTGTAGTATAGTGTAGTGTAGTGTGGGTATAGTACTAATATTAATACGAACACTTTAAATATAGATTAATAAGAAATACTAAATAAAAATAAACATAAAAAAATATCCGCCAAACAAACTATCAAGAACCGTTTTATAATACACACGACGAAGCCCAAGTCACAGCCAGGCTCACCGGGGCAGGGATACGGACGCGACACACACCTCCCTTGTAAATACTGGCGACGTCAAACAAGGCGGCTCCTCATCATCTGTTTCAGACCAAACACCACAAAAACAACATTTATTTGGTCCAACACTCACTTTAAGACGCATTCTTGCCTTGAAACGGAGGCCGCTTTTTATTACTCGGTGGAGGGTACACTTGTGGGTCTTCCTGTCTGTCTGTCTGAGTGTAATAGTGGTTCGTCTGTTTCTTCCTCTGTCTGTGTAAATGTGGTGTGTTTCTTCCTTCCTCTGTCTGTCTGTCTGTCTGTCTAACTGCGGTGTGTCTGTTGCTTCCTGTCTGTCGGTCTGTCTGTCTGTGTCATTGTGGTGTGTGTCTGTTGTTTCCTCTGTCTATGCAACTGTGGTGTGTGTCTGTCTGTAATTGTGGTGCGTCTGTGCGCCTGTGTAATTATGACGTGTCTATTGCTTCCTCTGTCTGTCTGTCTGTCTGTAATTGTGGTGCGCCTGTTGCTTCCTCTGTCTGTGTCTGTCTGTGTAATTATGGTGTGTCGATTGCTCCCTGTATGTCTGTTGCTTCCCCTGTCTATCCGTCTGTCGGTATGTAACTGCGGCGTGTCTATAGAACAGACAAGTGTCAGTATGTGTGCACGTAATTCATTGTCTCTGTAATATACTGTACCTGTAACCCTAAACAATGCTGTATCATGATGTTGATGACTCCGTGGACAGCTTCGTTAACCTCTATACTAGTGATTACAGCAAACTAATATACTGTACTCGTTATACTGTACCAAGACACTGTTTTGCGTATTACGATGATGAACGTAAAAACGGTCAAAAACACAACACGTATATAGGCTTGTTAACGTAGGACCCCCCGGAAGTGACGTCAGGGTCTAGGAAATAAACAAGGATGGTTCCCACGCTGGGTTGGGGTCCCTGTAGGAGAGACGGGGGGGGGGGGGGCTAGTGTTGCTGATGCCCTGAACACTTAACTAATAAAACAACATATTTTTCATACGTTTCATAACACACATCCTTAACACATTCAAAACACTCATTCACAACACACATTCACAACACATTCATAACATTCAGAAACAAACAAACTCCGTGTGTAATCTATGCTCCAGTAAGTACAGATAGAATATAGCAAATAAAACTAATCACTAACACTAGCAATCATAACACCATCAACAATAACAGTATAGTGTCTATTTAATAACAGTATAGTGTCTATTTAATAACAGTATAGTGTCTATTTAATAACAGTATAGTGTCTATTTATTCAACCACAAACAGCACTGATCACACGCCGGGTCAGGAGACTACACTACACTCTACATAACAATAGAAGGATAATACTGACGAACCTTCAGACATATAAGATAATTCCTACATTAAAATAAAACAAACTTCTACAACACAAATATTCTATACCTCATAAAATATAAAATACCTCAATGTTTATAATACTGTATTTTATATATAAATCTCATCAGACTGAAAAAAAAATCACTAATAAATCAGTTTTATTTTGTCAGGGTGAGAATAAAGCACGGGGTGGTGGTGGCTGTGTACATCTCGTTAACCATTACCGTATTATTATCACGGTGTGTTTATACTCGTTTATCAAATGATTTAACCTGGAATGTGTGTGTGTATGTGTGTGTGTGTGTGTGTGTGTGTGTGTGTGTGTGTGTGAGGGGAGGAAGCATAACGGTGTGTGGCTATAACTAGAGACGCGCAGTAAGTCAGGGATGCGCAATAGACCAGAGGTTACATGTAGAAATTAATAGGCCACATGCGCACAATACATTAAACGTGTGCTAGTTTACGTGTGTGTGTGTGTGTGTGTGTGTGTGTGTGTGTGTGTTTGCTCGCCATGGTATATATCTTTGTGAATTACTGTCATGGCTACGACTGTTTGTGCTCCTCTGAATTTCATTACCTCTTCACATTAATTGGGATGGGGTGGGGTGAGGGTTAGGTTAAGGTGGACTAGGTTAGGTTGGGTTAGGTTAGGTTAAGTTGGGTTAGGTTAGGCTAAGTTGGACTAGGTTAGGTTAGGTTAGGTTAAGTTGGGAATGTGTTCGCCCCACACGCCCCCAACAGCAGTAAGACAACAGTGAGAGAGATGGGTGATGGGGTCCACTTTCCACTGAGTGTTTGTAGACTGTGTCCCTTACCACTCTATACAGTAAGAGGGCTCTTGACTCGATGTACACACACACGCACACTGTACACCAGGACATACATGCGAGAGAGAGAGAGAGACACACACACACACACACACACACACACACACCAGGTGCTGAGGCGGAGTGTTATTTTCTGACTGAATTAACAAAGTCCTTGATAATCCTCCCTGTCCCATCTGTCCCTCAGTGTGTGTGTGCGTGTGTGCGTGTGTGTGAGTGTGTGTGTGTGTGTCATAATAGCCGTTCAAGTAATTCTTTCTAATGTACAAAATTATTACAAGAATTCAAATGGTGATTCTTAGCTTGAGAGAGAGATTTAACACTCAAGGAAGAGAGGGGAGTATTCGCTCTCTTACAGGCACAAAATAATAGAGAAACGAGAGACACCTGAAGATTAAAGAAAGAATATGAAAATAGACAAATTATAATGATAATAATAATAATAATAAATAATAATAATATCAGAACCGCAAGAACACACAACAGACGGGTCACACCAGTAGCAGTCAGTCAGTCAATTAATACCAAAATAGCCAGGAAGGCCCCGGACTCAGCAACTGGTATTTCCGCCTCACACTATAACCTCATCCTTCACCCTCAGTAGTTGATGAGACGCAGCATCCCCCCCCCATTCTCCCTCATCTCTCTCCCTCGCTTGTTGAGTCCACTAATATAGGCTCAATGAGGGTGGGAGGCTGAATTTTTCCTTTCCACCTCATTCTTCCTCATTTCTCATTTCACTGCGGGTTAAGCCTTACCCACACAGGCCACCCCTAGCACCTCTCAGAGACTAAGAATGTTAAAACCTCCCCCGGTGTGGAAATGTGAGAACCCATAGAGCTGGTTCACTCAAGGTGGCAGCTGACATGGCGGAGTTATTGTTCTCAGACTACAGTGACTAGAGGCGTGTTCTCCACCCCACTCAGAGTTACGAGGGGAGGATTGGTCATGATCTCCGCGGGGCCAAGAGAAAAGAGTGTCTCAGTCTGACGTCTCTCCGTCTATACCTGTCTGTCAGGAAAGGCGTTCACTGAGCTCATAACGCAGCCACGAA